GCCTGGCATTTTATCTAGTATTCCTGATTCGTTTGATGCTGGCACTTGATACACCTGAGCTGTTGAGGTATAATTCAAGACTAAGAAATTCATATCTTTAAAAGAAGTTTTTGGAAGATTATGTAACTTACAGATTTACCATGTTATTGTTGTGTGCTTCATATCTGCTTTTGATTTATTATATTGCTTTATTCGACCTCTAGTGTCGATATCGACCCCTCGTCAGTACTTCTCCGGGGTTAGGCTAGATACTTGGTAGGAGTTAATTTACATTCTCATGCTACACTTCTGCACTAAATGTGCAGGATCTGACAGGTTCAATTGGTGGTTATCTTGGTGTGTCGGTGCAACTGTTGACGAGAATTTATGGTGAGCTGCATTTCAGGCTACGTATCGCATCCCACAAAGTCTCCATCGTACTATTTACTCTATCCTGTCTTATTTACATTTTGTACAGATGTTGTATTATTATCGTACATGTCACACCTCCTTTTTACCTACACCCCCGGAAGGGATGTATAAGGGAGTTTTTTTCAATTTTAAGTGACTATCGAAACGGGATTATTTTATTAAAAATTCAGAGTCGCCAATTGGGAGAGTTATGATGTCCCAAGTCACCGGTTCAAATCCCGAATCGAGGAAAGGATTGACTCTGTTTAATAGTCTGCGAACCAGAAATCCGAGTAAGGAATTCTGTTAACTCGGGAGAAGGTGTTAGGCATTCCCGAGTTCCGTGGTTCTAACACGGTCGCTCAACTGTTATACTCGGCTTAATTATCTGATTTTGGTTCAAGTTTTAAAACCTTTGTGCATTTTTTTTCAAACCGCTTTTATTTAATTTTAGGAATGTTGAACGTCGTTTAAAACACGTCTTTGGATCGCGCCACATGAAATGCACCCGCCATCCTAAACATATTTTATTCAACATTTTTAGGTTTGGATTTGGGTCACATGAAATGCACACCCGAGTTTAGGAAGGTAATATTATCAAAATACGCGCCTAAAGCAACTAATGCGCTTTTAACTTTTGCGAAGGCTATGGAAATTTGCTAAATGGCACGCCTCGTATTCTAGGGATTTCAAAACAATCAATTAAATGAGGGCCACACATTTGAGATTTGCTTGGCGCGGCGCACCTCAATTCCATCTTTAAACAAGGATTCAAGACTAATTAATTAAAGAACGTATGGAGTCCTAATTTATTCTGGACCAAACTCATATTAATGATTCAATAAAATATAAAAACAAAACTCGCAAGAAATCGCCCTAAATTGATTGCCAAATGACCACTGTTGTGGACTTAATGCGTGCAAATACTGGGCTCCAAGTGAAGCCCAGCCTGGAAGCTCTATGGTGGAAGAAGACTGCAATTCGCAGTTAGGCCCAGAATGATATCCCAAAAATGCGATCCATCACAGGCATTGGAGCAAAAATGCAACGTTTGAATTTGAATGGAGTAATCACTGCTACAATGTGCGTTCAAATGCATTTGAAACCTTACATTTCACACACGGATTCTAGACAGCCTTACATGCAATAACACCTCTCACACATTAGCGTCAACGACCAAACTCAAAAGCAGCCATCACTTGTATTAGAATATGAATGCAACTATAGCCCTTGAACAAACTTGAATTTCAAGTCATTTCTAAAAAATGATACTCAAGAACTGGGACTGGCTAGAGAAATTTACTAATTCCGAAATCAAACATCTACAACCATTTGACAACCTTATGGATTTACATGACAAAGACACGAGAATAAAATTGAACAATTATAGGGATTCAGCTGTTATTCAGTTATGCAACTCCTAACACACTTTATGCAAGCACGTGCTAAATCTGTATTTACAGTTTATTCTAACAACAACAAACCCAGGTAATTTCCGTAACCAAGTAAGCATGCTCAAATTGAGTAAATTAGCTACTGCATCTTGACTCACAATATTCGACACAAAATCCCCCTTTAAAACATCAATTGCAGGAAGATTCAACCCACAATAAAGCTGAAAATAACAAATTAAAGTTCAAGCGCAACATGACCCTAACAGTCCATTCACCCATGAGCTTCCATTTACAATTATAGAGCCCAAAAATCCAAGCACTCATTCAAACGACCTAACAACCCTAAACCATTGAGCATGAATAAACAGACTAACATATTTTGAAAGTAAAATATTGAATTACTTTAGGACAGGAGAAATTAAGGACATAAAACAGCAGGAGCTAATGGAAGTTCAACATTAACCAATGCTTTTGTTCAAATTCAAACCAAATTATCAACTATGTACAGAGATTCAGTCTGGTTCTAACTTGTAGCACCCCATTTGTTAACAATGGTATGAGGAAATACTTGGAAATTAACAGAGGAAACAAAAGTGAACAAACAATAGCTACAGCCGAGCAAAGACAGCAGAAATCAGCAAGGAAAAGCAATGGAACAATGATTCCCAGCAAAACAGCCAACTCAAATCCAGAAAATAGTGCACAATAACAACAAAATCAACCAGAACTTCAGGCCAACCTCTCGAACCAAACAAATCAAACCCTTTGAGCCCTCATATGGATTAGAAAAAGGTTTCAGGGCATGAAAACTCCAGAAATCACAAAGGGAAAAGGAAATTTCAATGGAATAGTCCAACTTTTTTTTTCGTTTGTTTTTTTTTTCTATTTTTTAGCCCTTCAGGTCTCTTAGCTCTTGGGTTCGCCTTTCAGTCCAAGAAAAGATGCCTTTATAGGCAAGAAAGTATGGCAGCCTCAGCTTGCATTTTGCCCCCTTTCGAATTTTGTTTTTTGCTTAAGAGTCCTTTATTTAAGTTTTTGAACTTCAAATCAGTCCCCCTCCCTAGCTTCCTAGAAGCTTCCTTTTCAGTTACAAAGAGATTCTTCACTTACAATTCCCAAATCACCCTTAAACCCCCCTGTTATTTACCCTTGAGGCTAGGCAGAACCTGGGTCAAATTGACCCAATGGTTTGAACCCCAAATAAATTGTCAGAATTAAACCCAAGGCCCAAACAAAATCAGAAAAAATTCATTCAACTAAATCGATGAGAAGTAGAAAAGGGAAACAATTAAATGACTTCAAAATCAAAATCTAAACTAAGCGACTGATTTCTTTTTAAGCTAAAATACTAAACCGGAATTGAATTACCAATTTAACAAAAGTCTAACCTAAGCTGATTATCAGAAAATATCATAAAAACACAGAGAACATCAGTTGAGAACTTAGAAAAGAAAACTAAAAATTGAACAGAACAAAAATGAACCCCAAATTAATTTAAAGGGAGAGACTAAGCTCAAAACTCTTTGATCAATTTCAGATGGAGGACATGTCACTCAAATAGTCGTAGAAAGAAAGAAGAATAAGGAGAATCAAAATGAACAATAACGGACACAAAAGGAAAAAAGACTCACCAAGTAAAACTCGAAGCCAACACTGGATAAACTCAAAGCCAACACTGGAACCTTCAATTTAACGAAATTAATTCTAATCACTTGTTCTTTGTTAAGAACAACTGAACAACATCACTTTTGCATTGAATCGAGCTTCGAAACGTGAAAATCGGAAGCGTAGGCTGATGTATGCCGCAAAAGCGATTTGGGGTTTTAGGGTTCATCCCTTTGAATCAAGATTTGACGGAATCTAAGATGATTGGAAGGGAATAGAATAGAGATTGGGGAAGAGGGGGGTGTGAGGGTTCCAGAGTGTTAGTGCGAAATGATTTGGGAGAAGTCAAGTTTTAGTTTGATTTTCGATTGAAGATTCGAGAAATAGGGCTGGGATTTGAGAGAAACAGTTTGGGGTTTTGGAATGGGGAGGTGGAGAGGAGTCAGGAGTGTAAATTTGGTAGGGTTTGGACGCCGGACGCCGCCGTGGGCGATTTCCGGCGGGCGGCAGGCGGTGGTTTAGCGCGGGGCTAAAGGGGGGTCTCTAAGATGGTGAGGGACGAAGAGGAGGGAGGGGGTTCCATTCGGACACTGATATATCAAACGACGCTAGCTTCTGAGCCGTTAAATTAATTAACCTCGACGACTCAGATCCATCCTAAGTGAAACAGGGTCCTTTTGATTAAGTGGGGAGACTGGACCGGGTCAGGGTGGTTTTGGGCCGGGTAAGGGGTGATTTGGACGGGCATCTGGGTGAATTTGGCCCAAAAATTGGGTCTTTTATTAAGACCTTTTGTTTCTTTTCATTTTCTTCTTTTTTTTCTTTTTGATTTTCAGATTTTTATTAAATACAAATTAAAATAGAAAAACTTGATTTAATTCCAAAACTAAACTAATTGTTTCCTCAAAAATTAATTAAGTCTTAATTTAAAAGAAAACTATGACAAATTCGAAAAGTAAAGATTAAAAATGCAAAGTGAACTATTTTTTTGTGATTTTTCTTCATTTTTTGTAATATTAAATAACTAATTATCCTAAAAAAAAAATATATAAAATTGAGTCCTAAATGCAAATGCACTATTTTGTATTTTTCATTAATTAAGTAAAATGAAATGCACAGACAAATGCAAATAATTAACAGAAAATGCCACAAAATCCACAAAAATTGCAAATAATGAAAAGAAATTATTTTGTTTTGAATTTATGGGAGTAATTCATATAGGGCAAAAATCACGTGCTCACAGTACTTATTAGTAAATGCTCATGCACTTGTGACACCGGATTTTGGGATGTTCTAGAAGTTATTTGTGTTTTTGCTTAGCATTTACACAATTTTATTATCTATTCTATTTAAGTTGTAAGCTTTTATGATTTTAATGCATTGATTTCTTTATCTAATAAAATTCACGATTTCAAAAAAAAATAAAATGCATAATTAAGTTGGTAGTTCACTATTGGCTTGCCTAACAGCGATGTTGGTTGCCATCACGACCTATAGTGAGTTTTGGGTCGTGACACGTTCAACCTCCATCCTTCAGCCAATTTGATCCAATGGCTCCAAAATGATCTCCCATCCACATAAAGCTGTCCCAACCCGGCCTACCCCACCCCACAGGACTCTCTCTAACCCCCATTTCCCCTCCATCTCTCTCCACCGCCCGCCGAAAATCATCTCACGTCGGGGGGCCACCTCCAAACAACTCCAAATCATTACCCTGCAATCACCAGCCTTTCCTCATTTCAAATCCATTATTAGTTTTCCAGAAATCCCTTCCAATATTTTCATTTAGTAGATCTAGAATCGGACCAAAACCTAAAACTTCACCTTTCTTTCTCTTTAATCTTTGCCCGAATGAAGTTAAAACTCACACCAATCGATGTATCTTGATGAGTGCTGTCAATTCGTGTTAGTCTTATCCCATTTTGTGGCTGCTAGAATCCTATCAAACCCTGGTTGATCGTCCAGTTCCCCTCATCACCTTGCATCATCTCCTCCGACCTAGCGAAAGGTATTTCTACATATAGAACTGGCCGGCGTAAAATAATTTCGGTTAGTGCAAGTTTAATAATTCCCCCGGCTCACCAAAATTTTTGTTGGCCGCTTGTGTTAATCTAATAGGTACTGTTTCCCTCTGTTTCTTTCATTTTGTTTTCATTTTTATGAGTGTTGTTTGCTTTGATTCGTAGTTGAACAATCACATGTTTAATCTTTGATCAAATAGCATTAGAAATTAAGGGCATTCTTCAGTTAGTTTGATTTCATCTTTAGCCATTTAGTTGATATCATGAGTTGGCCTGTTCGAATTCTTTTGTTGTTTTATCATTAGTAATTAGTTATTGTTCTTAGGTTGTAGTTAATTTTAATTCATATTGGCAGTTGAGTTAACTCTAGAAATCACTGAAAGATTAAGAGTTAGTTCAGGGATAAATTTTGAGAGAATTTTTTGAGTCAATTATTTATGAAGTTTCTAGAAAGGGGGTCTTAAAGACTACTTAGCAAAAGAGAAGAGGAAAGGGATCTTTGTTAGAGACTTTAGAGTAATAAACAGAAGATGGGAGGTAAGAAACCGAAAATAGAAGGAAAAGGAAACAACAGAAAAAATGGTGAATTCTGTTATAAAAGGACACCCAACACATTCACACTAACTGATTGATTCATTCTCACGCATTTGCAAAATACTCTACTCCTATCAACTTCTAGAAATTTTAATTTCCCATATTTGAAAAACAAAAACAGTCACAAAAAGAGATTAAAACTATTTTTTCTAAGTTATACTTAGCTGCTGCTGATTCTCTGGGTTTTCTAAATTGGTTAAGCTGAAAATTGTTGTATCACTGATGCTACCCGTTTAGCTATGTTGTTTCTTTGGATCAGCTTTCACTATAACAACCCGACCAGTCGTTTTGAGCATTTGAACTTTGCTCGGTAATTTGAGGGCACGAATATCTCCGCATAATGTATTATGACTTTTGTGAATCATCGATTTTGGTTTTCAGGTTGTTCAGTATCGATTTGAAAGAATGAACTGCATGATAGAAGTTTTAAGTTGGGAGAGCTGACCAAGTTGGACTTTTTAGCATTTCATCTCAGATTGGAGTTTTGATGGTTTTATTAGATCTGGATGGTGATTTTGGATTCGGTCGTATTTTCGGATTTGCAATTGGATATTTCTAGAAGGATTCGGCACTAATTGGCGAAAATTGGAATTTGATGGTTTGGAAAAGTTCATTAAGTTTGATTTGGAGTGTGATTCGTCATTTCGATGTTTATATGCGTGATTTGAGGCCTCGAGTAGGTCCCTATTAGTTTATGGAACTTGTTGGTATGTTCGGATAGGGTCCCGAGGGGCTTGGGTGAGTTTCAAATAGATTTGGGTTGTGTTGCACTCGTTTTTAATGTTTCGACGTCGTTTATTCAAGCATAAATGGTGCTACATTAAGCAAATAAGCTCCAATTTCTGCTTTTATTGAAGCATTAGATCCGTATCGTAATTACGGAGCCATATAAAAAAGAATCGTCAAATTTGGACATCGTATGAGGAGTTTATGATCATTTTACCAAGAATTGGGTTGCCAGATTTTTCAGATTAATTACAAAATTGCAACTGACATCATATTTAAAAATCTGCACTATTTTTAAATAATGAAACCAACATATCTCTTTCAATACAAGGTCAAATGGAGTGATTCAAGAGACTAACTTGACTATAATTTCACAAGGAACCCAATGGAGGCATCAAAAGCGAGTTTGGAGATTATTTGACACACGAAACGAGGCAGAACAGTATTAAAATGAAGGTTTTATTCATATAACATATTTTGAGTTGGGAAGTTCAGAATCGGGCATATTTTGAGGCGATTTTCACTAATTTTTGGTTATATTTCGTAAATCCATCTTCGTTTTTGGTAATTGGTTTGTGAATTTAAAGAGAAAATTGGGGGGTTTTGCCTAAAGTTTCATAATGTCAATTTTTGAGTTTTGAATATCGATTTGAAGTCAGATTTGAGTAAAACTTGTATGGTTGGACTCGTAATTGAATGAGTTATCAGATTTTGTGAGTTTTGTTGGGTTCCAAAGTGCGGGCCTGGGTTATGACTTTTTGGCCTGTGAGCACGTGATTTTTGTTTTACGCGACAATCGCTCCAAAAGAAACAAAAATAATAGCGATCGGTCTTGCTGTACAATTTTCGGATCTTTCACGTGGCATTTTGTTAATTATCTATGATTTTTGTCCATTTTTATTATTATTGAAACAAAATACAAAAAAATGTGTGTCATATGCAGTTTGAACCGTAATCCGGTTATTAAATAGAAAAATCATAAATAAGCATCTTTGTCCGTGATTGTTGTTTTGTTTGATTTTACCTGCTTTAAATATTTTAATATATGTGTGCAAATAATTGTATTAAGTGTTTAATTAATGAATTTCTATTTTTGATTTATTTAGGTTTTGTTTTTAAAATAAAAAATATAATAAAAGAGAGTGCAGAATTGGGTTGAAATCGGTTTGGGCTTGTTTTCATTTTAATTCGAGGCCCAAAATCAAACCCAAAACCCCATGTGTACCCGGCCCACACCAGCTGACATCCAGAACGTCCAAATGACGTCGTAGTGACCTAGTCTGATCTAGGCCGTTGATCTCAGATTGATCAACGGCCAAAGTCACTTCCTCATAACCCATAAACAAAACCCGACCCATTTCACCTAGACCGACCCAACCCCCTTTAGTCTAAAAACGACACCGTTTCCCGTTAACTGAAGGATCCTGGCCTTCCATCTCGCCTCATCCAACGGCTGAAATCAATCCACCCATTCCAAATATAAGCTTCCTACCATACCCTGCCCCCTATCCAAGACCCCAGCCTTCGTCCTCATCCCCTTCCCCACGAAACCCTAGCCGCCCCTTATTCCTCACCATTAATTCCGGCGGCATGAACGCCGGTGGCCTTCACCTTAACACCCTAGGGCCACCTTGACACCCTGAACATGAATCCACCAACCTTTCAGCTCGAATCCTATCCCACCTTCTCGAATCTTCATTTGAAGATTCGAGCAAAACTCGATCCACACCGATCCACCCCAGCTTCGCACCAGACAGTCCCCGAACCTCCCTCGTGACCAAACCATACTTGGTTTGGTCCAAATCTAACCAGGGAAACACGAATCCCAGATCTGATTTTTTGAACCCTAGGGTTCCTCGTGCCTGTTCCGTGCATGTTTAAACCCAGAGATTAGGGTCAAATGGACCTTAATCGAAGTGTTTCTCATTTGAGAAACACTTCGATTAAAGTCCGTTCAACCTTGAGAAGGGTCTGTTCAAACACAAGTTGATTTTTCTGATTTTTCTTTCAAAGATTTTAAGGTAAGTTTGTTTTCTCTTCTTTATTTCAGTTCGTGTGTTTGTTAAAGGTCTATTCGTATGGCCAAACGTCTTGTTCAAATTGTGTTTTGAATTTTACCAACTGTTTTTGCACACCTTGCCTGGACCTCTGTATTTGATCAAATGTTTCCTCATTCACTGATAATGTGTGTGTATGTAAACTGCATAATTGACTGAATTGAAACTGTTTGAGTAATCAATCCCCAAGTTAACCTCTGTATTGACAAGTGCAATCTAACCCCTTGTTGATACTGTTTGATTCTAATCCTTGGCTTTGATTGTATATGTTGTAATTAGTATAGTCGATTCGATACATGTCGTCAAATAGTTTTAGCTGTTTGAATGGTAACAACTTGATTTGTCTTGCTGAACCTTGTTTGAATCAAATTGAGAATCAACTATAGCTACTTACAATTGATGTAGTTGAATCAGAAATATAAAGGGATTGATTTTGTTTAGTTGCAGTCAGAATTGGAGGGCATGTGTACTTGTGCACAACATGTGCATAAAGGCCCTTTTTGATTAAAATAGTTTGACAGCACATGCTGTCAGATTATATTCTTGCTGCCCATGGCCTGTTTTAGTTTAATAAATGTTAAAAGGGGACTGTCAGGGAATATGATGGGGGTTCCTAATTTTAAAAGTTTGAGTGGAAAAAACAGCTAAAAAGGAATAGTTTCTGAGGTGTTCGAACATGCTGGGGAATAGCCTAATGTTAGGCTTATAAAAGGGGGAGATACACATTGAGAGGGATAGATACAGACAGAGGGGACTGAATATTTGAGAATTGGAAATTCTGAAAAAACAGAAAAAACTGGAAAAGATTTCTTTCTGATAACTCAAGTATAATTTCAAAACTGAAGATTGACATTGGATTTTGAAAAGAAAGGTGATAGGGAGAGGGATATCACAAAAATCAGAAACTGTTTTCTTCCTGCTGTTTGTTTGATTCTTAGTTTGTTCAAACTGTTCAATCAGTTCTGTCTTCTTTCAATTGTCGGCTAAGTCTATTGTTGGGTTTATATTGGTTGTTTCTCCTGGAATTGGATTGCCTGGATCTCTATTTTCTATGCTACTGGTTATTGCTATTTTTCTGCCATTTTTCCACCGGCTCTAACTGTATCTTGCACTGGGAGTTGTTCTATTTGTTACCTGCTGTTACTGCTGCTGTTTGGTGTTGCCATTGTTACTCTGCTGACCTCCCTTC